GATATCCGAGGATTTAAATGACATCCAGAAACCCAGTGCAGACTAGCTTCAACAAAAATGGGATTTATTTGGCGCAAAGCTGAGAAGGCCTCTGGAACAGTTGCGCAGAGTTAAGGAAGGGCATTGGGGAGAGGATGTCACACAGCTCCCTCTCCTTCCCTCCCCTCCTTTCCCCATCTCTTCTCCTCTCCCCCACCCCCTCCTACCTCCATTTCTCCCTCACCTTCATTTCTCATCTCTGTTTGGCTTCTTTTACAGACCGTCACCATCCATGTGGCAGGAAGGGGTCTACTGGTGTCGCAGATTCACATTCTCCTGTTCACGACCCTACTTGAAAAAAGGATTTCTGTTTTCCAGTCCACAAATATCTAAATCTCAGGGCAAGAACAGATGGCCCTGCTTGGGGCTGTGTTGGTTTCAGGGGCACTGGGGACTCTGGTCAGCTGGGTTGGGGTCAGGGGCCAGCCCCTGCCTGGGAGGGTGAGGTCTGTTTCTAGCCAACGAGGAGGTCACAGCCGGTGCAGAGCTGACAAGCCCCTCTTCCCCTCCCCTCTGCGCGCCTTCCCTCCGCATAGTCTCTGTGTCTACACTGCTCTGGAGGCGCTAGGAGTGGAAGGGGCAAAGTTAGCAGTGTGGTCTACCCTGATGGTGTCCACATCCGCGCTCAGACACCTGTAGGTGTCCTGGTAAACTTTTACTTGGAGAATTTAAGTTGCCTTCTTTGGCCTTCTATTTCTCCAACACGCTGCTGGGGTGGGTGGACCACTGGCCTGGGTATGTGTGGGCTCAGTGTCAAGGACCCACCAGCCTCTTTTGTCAGTAGCCCAGTCAAGACGCAGGGCGCAGGGAGGGAGGCCGCGGGAGCGGCTTCCTCCTCCTCCTCCTGCTCCTCCTCCTCATGCTTCCCCAGTTCAGGATCCGGGGAGGAGCCAGCAGCTTTGGACATCCTTCGTGGATGCCAAGGGGAGGGTGGCTGTGAGGATGTGGCCTTCCGTGGTCCCCATTTCTATCAGCATCCAGTCGCTGTTCCTCCACAGGCAGGGCCAGGCTGCGTGGACCTCTCAGTCCTCAGGACCATGCCTCCATTCCTCTCCACCGCAGTCTTAGCGAAGTGTTTCTGGGTAGGGGAGAGCCCTACACTCCCCAAACAATTTCTCTTAAACGTTTTGATTCTTCCTTCAGTCCTCTCCCTTCTTTAAAGACGCACGCCTTTGGAAACCCAAGGACAAAGGAGATGGGTCAACCTCTGGAGCTTGCTGTGCCTGCAGACCGGGGTTGGAAGGGGTTTTGCTGCCTGGTTAACAAGCCTGAGCTGATTTCATCTATGTGTCTCTCCTGGAGTCCTTTCCCTCTAGTACATTCACCCTTCGGGGAGGAGGGGAAGAGATGGAGTAAACATAGAATGGGGGCGTGCCTCCATGCCTCAGCGGATCAGAACTCCTAATTTCTGCCAGCCTCTGGGGGCCTCCAAGTCTGCACTTTACATAAGTGTTAATGTGCACTTTGAGGAGTGACAGGTGGTGAGGCTGCTCATTTTTAACCAGTTGCTCAGTGCTCCTGAGCAGGGCGAGGTGTCTCGGCCTCCCTGGGGGCAATCAGATGTGAAGGCGTCTTGTCACGGCCTTCCCAGATCTGTGGCCCCTTGAAGGAGCTTTCACAGAGTCACATCCACATTAGGGAATCTCCTCCAGCCTGGACTGTTGGCCAATTTTTTGTCTTCAGGGCTCTGTTGGAAAGGAGGGAGGGAGATATTCTGTGATGGGCAGAGGAGGCCGGCCGTGTTTTCTCAAGTGTGTGAGCACACGTCCTTTAGGAACAGCTCTGGGGACTAATTGGGGGTTTTTTGCCCAGGAAGTGTCATTAGGAATTGTTGAGTCCTATTACGAGCCATCAGAAGGTGACAAGTTGCTGGAGAACTTGCTGCTTAACCACCGGTTACCCGGAGACCCTGGACAGGGCTGCCACTCCCGAGTCCCACAAGCAGCCCCAGCCAGGTCTGCATGCGGGTTGTCTGGCCCACGCAGAGTCTGAAGAATCTCAGTAGTAACAGAAGGTGCTAGAACTGGGCCTCCTTTCCTGCTGTGACTAGAAAGGAAACCGCACAATTCCACTGAATCGTGTTTCCTGCAAACTCACCAGATTTTCAGAGCCCAATGGTGCCATCTGAAGGGCAGCAGTGACTCATTGAGTGGCTACTCTTTGGCCCTGTGCCCATGCATAGTGGGGAATAAAACAGACGCAGCCCCCCTCATGGAGCTTCCCCGGGAACAGTAAAGACAGACATTAAATGCGTACATCGTTATTGATGAAATAATGACAGAAGTGCATAGAGACGCACGGGGACAGGTACGGTGCTTTGGGAAGTGGGCAAGTCCTTGGGGTGTCTGTGCAGTTTTCAAGGAGGGCCTGGGCCCATTCTCCTCCCTGTCTGTCCTTGAGCCCCTCCCAGACTCCATTCTTCACACTCCTGTTCTGTTTCTCCAAGAGCTGCTTCCCCTGCCTGGCTAATTCCACAGCAAGGAGATGGAGGAGAAGTGAGGGAGGGTGTCAGTGCCTGGAAAATCACCCGGCTCTTGCCCCTCGCTCCAGGCTGATAGCTCTGCCAGCCCTCAGTTCCAAGGCCTCTCCAACAGCTGTCCATGAAAGAGGGGTCCCTCTCCTCCCCCACATCCATCTGGCAGCCACGAATCCAATCGTGGACTACCTTCACCTCCCAGACACGCCATCAAGCCTAATGGATTGTACTAGTTTTCCTTTCCAGTTTTTAATTACTTAGAGGGACTTGTTTTTCTTTATCTCCTTAAGGGACAGATTTGAGACTTAGGTTTGATATGAAAAGGGCACCCCAGAATTTGAAAATGGGGTTGCCAGCTGCTTCTGGTTGAAGACAGATAGGGAAATTGAATAATGCATCTTAGAAATGTTTATTAGCATTCTGATGAAGGTAAGTGAGGGATCTGAAAGGAAATCTTCTAGAAGTGTTGGTAATTTGTCCCCTGGATAAATCAATTGCTCTTCCTACAAAGCACATCAGCCTCCCTATTCAGAGTCCAGGCTTAACAAGGAGCCCCACTGGATGCATATGTATTTCATCGCTCAGACTAGGCAAGGGACTCAGTCAATGCCTGCTGAATGAATTCAGTCATCAGCCGCAGGCTTTGGGGGCTGTGCGGGCCGTGGATGAGTATTGGAGAAAAGCTGCATGTATTCTCTCTGGAACAATGCACCATCACAAAGACACACACAATCTGATGTGCACTTTAGGATTTGTATGTTCTTTGAAATCCATCCATGGACCCCCACGCGGACCCCAGGTGAAAAACTCCTGGACCAGAGCTGACATCTGTAAAGCTCCCTGCACGTACAGTATGCCCCCCGTACCCTCGGACGCCTCTGTTTCCTTCTTGTTTGAGCACTGGGTGGGGGAGCCGGGAAGGTCCATGTATGGAGCCACATTTCAGGGCATCTTGTCTAGTCACCCATCTTGGCTGCCAGGGGACCAGCAAACGCCAGCTTTCTTTTCCCCCAAGAAATTGTGAAGATTTGGCAAGACTGGGCCTGTATTCCCTATGGCAACAATCAGCTGGCTTAGTGTCTGCCGCCCGCTTTAGGTAGACCATGGCTGTCTAGTTTGTCACAGCCCTTCCCCACCCCCTCAAAGCTGGGACCGACTTCAGCTCTGTTTATCACCCCATTTGATTTGCTCTTTGCTTAGGGCAGAATTACACAAAAAGCTTTTAATTCTGAAGGTATACTGTCTATCACGAAACACAAGCCCCCTCATGCATATACATATATAAAACACACACACATGCATGTGCACACACATATTTTGCCCTTCCAGGGTGTCTGCAAAACATCTGAATTTGGACCCTGATCCTCCTCTTCCTCACAGGGTTGCTGTGGGGGTTCAGTGGCCTGATGCATGCAGAGCCCTCAGCATAGTGCCAGGTACACAGCAAGTGCTCACTCAAGACGTCTGGCTAGTGTTACTAGTGTTTCTTTGGGGCCAGTGGGCTTCTCCTGGAATCCAAAGGTATCCTCTCCAAGCTGATCAGGACGTTGTTCGGGACTGGGGTGCCCTCTAGTGGCTTCTCTCCCCACTCACACCCAGATTTGTGGCTCCCTTTCACCAGGCACCTGCTCCCCTCCCACACAAGGGGAGAGAGCCAGGGGTGGGGCCGGAGAAGGTGATCTGCTTCCCACACCATTTCCTTTGCCTCCCTCCTGACTCTGGTGAGGTTGGGGTGGGGTCCCTAGGTCTGGGGATAGAAGGAGGGGTTTGGAGGTGGGGTCCTGGCTGCATGACCCTCAGGGGTTGGTACCTTACCCCCTTCTACCTGCCCCCTTCTCCTCCTAGAGCAGTGCTGCCCTGTGGGCTCCCAAGGCCACCTCCATACAGGGCACCGGACGGCAGGAGGGCAGTGCATCCACAGAGGCTCTCTGTGCTATTATGAGGTAATTTTATTTCTTTCCATTTTAGGTAAAAATAGTAAATACAAGATAATCTTAATAAAGGTAAAAATACATCATTTGGATTTTGTTGTTGTTCTCTAAACAGTGTTACCTACAGTACAATTTTTGATTTAGGATTTTTAAACTTTTTTTTTTATAAACAAATAGAACTATTTTGCTATTAGGCTATCTGTGTTCTCATCTGGCACTTAAGAATAGATCACAGGTCACCTCCCGGTTCTGTGTGGATGTGTGTGGGTGGCAGGGAGGGAGTGAGAGGGGGTGCATGGGATGAGGTGGTTTGTCTTCCAGGGACGCAGACAGAGCTACGATCCCGTGTGCAGTGGGAGGGCACGTTGTGTGCATCCAAGATGGACTTTCCTGCGCTGGCCACAGGGACGTATGTCACTGTGGCTGGACCGAAGGTCTCACATGTGTGTGTGTGGGGCGCTTCTTCCCCTCCTCCTGTGGTTGTGTGTCTCACCCAACAGCCTGGATTCACAACAGTTCTGGGCCCAGGCAGGCCACTGGGCTGCAGATGTCAGCAAGGCTGCTCAGGACAGAGCCAGTGGGTCCCTTTACTGTCCTAGAGGAGTGGGCCTGGGACCTCTCCCTGCCAGGGCTGGTGACCAGGGCATCCAACTTGGCCTTGGAATGCTGGTAGAAGTCACAGATGCCGACGTGAGCTCTAAATGTCTTTGCCCTTGTTCACTCTCAGGTGGTCTTTGTTTAAATTCTTCCCAAATTTCTCACTGAGCTGTTGGATCAGGTCGGCCAGCTCGCCGGTGGCTTGAGATTTCTCTTCCAGAAGCTCATAGCGCAGGCTGGAGATATCCTGCTTGATTTCCTTCAGTTCGCCTGCAAGGACAGAGGAGATTTTGGTGAGTATGAGCAGGCAGAAGGGGCTCATGCCATGTGCATTAGGGGCATGCATCTTTCCAGCAGAATGTCCAGTTGTTGGTCCAGCCCACCAGAGTGGAGGTGGGGGGACAGGAGCTCTGTTTTGACCTAAGTACCACCCAGCTCCTATCACTGAAGGTCACATTCATCCATTTAAAACCCTTCTCCCCTCATTCCTGGTGAAGCTCTCCTCTCTATTAAGGGTTTGAGGTAGACGGAGGGGTCGAGATCAGGGTTGTGAATTGCTAGCACCTATTTCATATCATGATTGTTAGAATGTTGGTCTTAGAGCCATTAAAGGCAGATTTCAAGACTCTGAGCAACACCCTTGTTACTAATATTTGTTTTCATGATGCTCCATGTTTTGTTCTGTTGTTGTTATTTGCAGAGAGGAGAAACTCCCAAGTGTGAAGGAACGGCTCACACAGTGGACGCGGCCACGGAGCCAGGCAGCCTCGCAGGAGGCTGCCAGACCACGCCGGCAGTACCGCTCTGCCGAGGCAAGCTGCCACAGGCCCGCCTTCTCCTCCTTCCGCAGCAGGGGACACCAGGTGGGACTTTCACTTATTTCCACAGTGAACCACGTGGTCGGAAATCCACATGGGCCTGGCCTGTGGGAATCTTTTTAAACACAAAAGGGAGTCGAAAGGTTCTTTCCTGGCATTATAGATACCGGACTTGACTCAAGTGGGGGTCTACTGCCTGGGGCCACATTATTCTCATCTATTTTCTAGGTACTCTTTACATACAGAAAATGCAGAGATCTTCAAGGTACGGTTTGACCAGCTTTGAAAAACGCATACATCCCCTATTTTCTTTTCGTCAGGTGCTTCACCGAGCCCCAGTTTCCTGGTGTAATTCTAGTGGCATGAAACCCCACCTTCTATAATCAGTTACATTCCTGTCAATCACAATTACGCACTGCTCGAGGCTGGCTGGCATGACACCTGGCAGTTTTATATTTGAGATTCAAAAGTAGGGGTAGGTAGGTGGCTGCTGCTCAGCCCTTAGAAAGTGTCAGCCTAGGGGTGAGGTCAGTCATTGTTGATCTTCAGGCTGCACCCTGGATGCCCCAGGATGAAGCAGAGGGCCACTAAATGGCTCTTCTGGTAGGCCCCTGTGGCCCAAGCCAGGGGGAGACTTAGTGCCTTCAGTCATGGAGGAAGCAGTTTCTAGGTAGCAAATATTGTCCCTGGTGTCTGATGAAGATTAATTACCTGGTATAAGGTAATTTGCTTTTCACTTAAGAGTAACTGCTTAGAATAGCCTGTTTTCAAACAGTGAAAATAATGTAGTTCACAAACTTTGGTGTGCATCAGAATGACCTGGTGCTCTTTTCAAAATGCAGACCCCCAGGCGCCACCCTAGAGATGCTGGTTCATTAGGGCTGGGTGGGGTCTAGGATCTGCATTTTTAACAAGTGATTCTGAGGCTGGGATCACTTTGAGAAACACTGCAGGTTGTCAGATTCTGCGAGCCAGCTGGAATGGAGAGGGTGGCAGAATCTGAAAGAGGTGTGTAGTTTGCTGCTGTCTGTATGTGATCCCATGGAATGAGCAATTCTGGGCCATCCTGAACTTGAGGGACAAGAGGCCAACTCAAGGCAGCCATCACTGCAGTAGGCAGAATAATTATCAACACCCATCCCCCGAAAGTTGGCCAGTTCCTAATCCCTGGTGTTTAGTCTGTGAATATGGTAATGTCACATGGCAAAAGAGAACTACAGTTGCAAGTGGCATTAAGGTAGCTAATCAGCTGACCTTAAATAGGGAGATTATTTTTGACTATCCAATCTAATCATGAGTCTTTAAAAGTGGAAGAGGAAGGCAGAAGAGTGAGTCAGAGAGATGTGATGACAGAAGAGGCAAGAGAGGTGGCAGCGTGAGAAGGTTCCTGCCCTGTTGCTGGTTCTGAGATGAAGGGGCTATACACAGGGAGACTGGAGGGCGGACTCTAGGTTAGCGCTAAGGACAGCCCCAGTTGACAGCCAGCAAGGGAACAGAGACCTCAGTCCTACAACTGCATGGAACCGCATTCTGCTGACACCCGAATGATCAAGGAGCCTCCCTGGGGCCTCCTGACAACACCTTGGTTTTAGCCTGGTGAGACCATGTCCAACTCTCAACCTATAGGAAACGAATCCCATCTCTTACCTTCATTGACTTCGTCATTTTCTCTATCCACCTGGGCCTTCAGGACATATCTTTTTATGAGCCGTTTCATGATTTTCTGAAATGTGAACACAAGTAAGGGATCACGCGAGCCTGGGCGAGCACAAAGGCAGCCTGCACGGTGTACCCTCCTGCAGAGCGCCAGGTCTGCTGCTGGGGATCCTCCCATGCCTGGTGCCTCACTTTGGAGGGGTACACTGCCTAGTGGGGGAGGCTGGGCCAGTTGCTGTTTAACCTCTCCCCCCAGGATTCAATACCACCTGACCGTGGGGTGTAAGAACAGGACACTCTCAATGGCAGGAGGCAGAGCCAAGGAGAGAGAGAGAGAATCATCTAAGATCCACGGGCACGGCTCGAGGGTCCTAGGCCTGACTCTACCCTGACCTTTGTGACCTCAGCCAGTCATGTCCTCTTCTGGGGCTTCAGCTCTGAAACACTTTCTTCTATTTCAACAACTGATGCAATCAGGAGGGAGTGTTGAAGTCCTAGCAGGCCAGTCCAGGTGGGACTGCATCCCTTTGAGGTGCTGTGCATGAGAGGAGATTGGCTCAGCTCAGAGTCAGGATCAGGCAGGGAGGACAAGTCCACCATACCTTGGAAAATTCCTACCAGAGGCAGAACCAGATAGAGCCGGGCCTCGGGAGGTTCTGCCAAGACACCACTTCCCTGAAATCCCACACACCTGACACTGTGCTGCCCCGTCATGCTGGAGGGGACGGGTTGGCCTGCAGGTTCCGCTTATTATGCAGATACTGGATTCTTTAGAGCAAACAAAGCATGAATAAACCCTCGAGAGACATCCAGAATAGAGCCAAGTGTAAGAAAGACTGCAGGAGGTGAACTTTGGATTTTGCCAGCTAGTCATTTCAGTGTTCTTGTGAAATCACAGGATTTAAATATATTCTGGTAGCTGAGACTTCTGAATCTTGCAAAGAGCTGAGCAGCACAGCAGAGAGGGAGGGATTCCCTGCTCCTTGGACATCCTCTCCTGAGACCTGCTCACCTGCTCACACCTGAGGCTTGAGGGGACAGAGGCAGCATTTTCTAGATTGAAGGGCCCTGAATTCTGTCCCTAGCTTTGCTGTGTGATGTAAGCAGGTTGCTAAGTTCTCTCTGACTACATGGGCTCAGGAAGAGCTTCTTGCAAGTGAAAGGGATGTGACCTGCTGGAGGGCCTAACTCCTCATTATCCCCAACTAGTGGCTCTCTCAGTGCCTTTAATGGTGAGGACCTGGCTGAGGAGGCGTTCCCCGGCCCCCGTGATTCCAAGCCTTCAGTTGAACCTGGTGAAGGCTCTCCACCGTGAGCTCTGAGTCAGCTCATTTAGGCCAGGACTGCCCCTGCTCTGCCCAAGGGCAGTGGTCCAGTTCCACTGGCTCTGTGGTTTGAGTCGTGATCTGTTTCAGGCTGAACAGTGAAGTAGCAAGTTGCCTTCATGCTGCCCCTTCTCAGAGAGGCCTGGGTCTTGTCATGTGAGTGGTTAAACTGCGTGCTAGAATTCTCGCTGACATTCTTCTAGTCAAGAAGGCAAGTTACCTGAGTTATAAGAATATATGCTTTTCCATGGAACTCAATAATGCTCTTTTCACTTTGAATTGGAAAAACAAAACTATAAAAAATAATCTTTGTCCTGAACCAGTTCTCATGGGAAAAAAGAAACAACCCAGATACCCAAATATCTAACATTCTTACTGAAAAAGGAATTCATAGGTATTCTTCCATGGTAAAATGTCAGGCTGACACAAGTCAAAGGATCTAGTTAAAGTTTGTTGCCTTTTTAAGGAAAACTTCAAGAATTAGGGGTTCTTTGGTTTCTGGATCCATCAATTAAAGAGACTTTATATTTATGATGTAAAATTATCAGCCAGAGATTGGAGGTGGAGAGTCCTCTCTTCTGTGATGGTGATGAGTGGCATCCTTTCATAGCTATGGCAGCCAGTCCTCCTGGCTGAGTGTGCACACGGTGTTTTAGTGCAACATGATTAAACCGATTATTTAAAAAGATTCCATAGTATGTGTTTATTATTAATACAAAATGTGCCCCTCAAACTCCATTTGTTTTGAATAGGTGAGGCCCTGCTCACAAGCCCCCTTTCAATGCAGAGTAGCCCACTGGGAGGAAGAGAGAAAGCGTGAAAAAGAAGCAAAGAAACAGCTGTACTGAGTCCTCGCTACAGACCAGGAGTTGTGTGAGCCTCCTTGAAAAAGTGACCTCATTGAATCCTCCCAGAATCCCAGTGAGATGAGGGTTGTCATCTCCATTTACAGATGAGGACACTGAGGTTCAGAGAGCAAAGTGACTTCTCCAAGGTCACACAGCCAGGAAGTGGCAGATCTAGGATTTAACCAAAATGGAAACCAAAGCTGGGGCTTCGTCCAAGCTTGAGAAAAGGGTTAAGTGCAAGATGCTTTAGGGATGAGATGCACGCAACTGGCTCCCATTGGTCAAAGGAGGATTGGACCACTCTTGGGTATGTATTTGTCCTTTTAAAAAGCATTGTCTTTTATGTAGGAGGAAGTCTAGCTAGATTTCAGAGGATGGATGGTTTTGTTCATTTGTTACCCTTGGGATATTTCAATCAAAAAAAATTGTTACCCTTGGGGAAGAGGGTCACTGGTATGTCATTGTCATGAATGCTTCTGGCCCACTCTTGAACACTGGCACGCTTGACCTGAGCTAGGGTTTCTGTAGACCTGCGGCTCAAAGGCAAGAGAAGCAAAGGTTTGCTTTCAAGCCTCTCACCATGCATTTGGATTATAGAGGCTTAATATGGAAGCAGAATTAATTGCGCGAGCACTACAGACATGCAGGGACATTTAACCCCCACCCCCCCGCCCCAGTTCACTCCTAGGAGCGACAGGTACCATAAGGGAGAACAGTGGGATCGCCTGTCAGTTGCTTAGAGACTTCGTGTCCTGATGGGGACCTAGCTTCCCCTCTGGCATATGCATGTAGACCACTTGGGATCTACAGGAGCGAGATGCCAATCTTGTCCCCAGAAAGCCTGAAATGGTTAGAAAATGCCCAAAGTTCTGTTTAACATGGATGCTACAGAGGATATCTGTTTCCAGAAAAGGTGGACATCAAGTCTCCCCTCCTTCACTACGTAGGGGAAAAGCTTGTTCCTTTGTTTGAGTTTGAGATATTTCCTTGCTAGCTTCCATAGAGTTCTTTCTTTCATGAAGATAATAAACTTCCCCCTAACCTGTCCCTGTTGGTGGCAACTCTGTCCACCCTGCCCTCACGCATTTAGCAAGTGCTGGAGATGAGTATATTTAGTGATATTACTCAGGCAAAAGAATTAATACTCAAGGATGAGAATGAGATGCACAATGGGTAAGAATGGTCGTGACACTGAGACCTACATCAAGGGAAGAAGGCACAGACTCCAGGGGACCAGGTGGCCTCAGGATGCTGCTGGTGGTGGGGAAAGTAGAAAGTCTTTCTATGGAAGAGACAATACTCTCTGTGCAGCTAATGACAAAAACAAAGAAGAGAACACATACAGTATGTTGAAGATGCTAAATGAAGTAGAATCCAGAGGGAAGAAATGTTGCCACCTAGGAAAACAGAAATTGAGGAACATTTGGAAGAAAGTGGACAAAATGACAAGTCATTTGTTAAACTGGGGTTTGTCAGACATCAGAATAGAAGAAATTAGCATTGGCAAGTTGTCTATTCTATTTGCTTTGATCTCTATAGAAAAGGCATCTAGAAGGTGAAAAAGGGACTCCCAGCTGGGTTTGGGGAAGGGATTGCATCTAAAGGTCGGGGCTTGTCTGAGTTATGGACTGTGCCTGGGTTCTATGGTTCATTTGGGATGTGGCTTGTTTGCTTTGCCGGTGAAGGAAATGTGGGTCTCAGAGAGTGAGTGTGTGGGGTCTGTACACATGCTAACAAATTGACACACTGGATCTTGGAACAGGCCACAGTGGCTTTGAGAGGAGGCACACATTGGCCACCTCACCAGCATCATGGTTTTGTTCCACTGTTTAGTCTCATGTTCACAGAGCCCAGACTAGAAAAAACATAGCAAAAGCAAGGAACCAGTTTTGTGAAAAATAACAATTCAGACCCCCAGAAGCCTAAGAAGAGCAAAGCACAGAGAGCCTCTGGTCTGAGGGGTCTGGCTTCCCTTACACGGAGAACCTCTCCAAAGAGTCGAAGGATTGACAAGCTTAAAATAACAGCTCAAGCACTAAGTTTGAAAAATCAAGCAGATCTACTGAAGAGACAGAAAGGAGACAAGCTTAAGAGCTACATGTGTATGAATAACGGGGCTTTTGTCTTACTGAGAATGAGACAGAACTTCTCAGAACCACGACAGTGTGAGATGCTGACCGCACACGCACTCAGTGAGATGGCAGCACTAGGTGTGGCCTGGATAGTAAGACAGCGGGAGTGAATTGGGGACGTTTGGAAGTTGCTTTGGGAAGAAAGCAATGCAACTTGGAAGGTCACCAGTGGGCCAAAGGACACAGAAGAGCCATTGTCATGTCCTTGCCCAAATCCTTCCTTCTGCTTCGCTGGTTGCTGCCTGGGGATAGCAGAAGGAGCTCTCCTGCTCCTTGCTTCCTCCCCTCAGGCTCCATAGGCTCAAATGGATCTCGTCTTAGTGACTGTCAAAAACAGTCACTGAGAATAGGGCAGGTTCTGAGGAAGGCTCTGATGCAGCACGATGAAGATAAATAACTTCATCTTCAAGAGAAAATGAATAAGATGCAACACTATGAGGATGCCCAGTGCCTGGCAGCGTGACGTAGTAAAAGAGGGGTACCCCTCCTAGTCAGACAGATCCCAGTTCAACCAGCTGTGTGACCTTCACCGCTGAGCCTCAGTCTCTCCTCTGTTAAATGGGGTTGAAGACACGGCCTTTCACAGGAATATGGTGAGATTACACCTGGGTAGTGACTAGCCTGACCCAGGTGTCCTTTCGTGCCATCTCACGGTTTATTCCTATTTGAGCAGATGATGGCTCAGGAAGATGCCCAGACTTCTCCTAGCAGGGCTGAGCAAAGTACACACATGCAAATGCAAGGTGCTCTCTGCTCCTGTGTGCTGTCCTCTCAACCCTTTCTCTCTGATGCCTGCTGGCTCAATTTTCCTTTCTTCTTTTCTGAGACAACTATTTGAATAAATAGCCCCAGGCTTTTCTTGGTGGATTCACAAAATACAGGATGAGCAAGCTTCCCAAGGTCATCAGTAGCCTGAAGCTACAAGCCAACCAATCTCTGTAATCACAGCAGGAAGCTCTCAGGGAGATGGAAGGCAGCGGAGACTCAACCAGTGATGATAAAGACAGAAATGGGGTCGCTCTGAGACTGTTTCTGAAAATGGTCTCGTTCATGAAGGATTCATTCTGGGTACAGGACGTTCACCGCATGATCAGTCTTCCTTTATCTCAGCAGCTGATGCTGCTCAAAACCCATGAGAGATTTGGCCCTAACCCATTAGGATTTTCTATGTTTTCTGTGACTCAGATAATCTATACTTCTCTCTGAGAAGCTCAGGAATAAAAATCCTTCCACTGACCAAAGGATTTGTCCTTTAAATGAACTCAAAGCAGATCAAACTGGTCAGGTCCAATTTGCACACGATTAAATACAAGATTTGCCCATTGCCAGTTTTTGCTGGTGTCATCTGATAAAACTATAAGTACTTTGAGGGATGAGCCACTTCTTAATTGTACACTTAAATCCTCCTAACGGCACAGCTGGATTCTGAAATATGGACGAGATTCAATTAGAGACCTGGGTCTGGAAGAAGCTAAGTCTGTAATTGCTCCGTCTGAGACAGTGGCACCAGGCACACATCACCTCAGCCAAAGGAACAGTCAGGACAGCTTCAGATTTACATCTGATAAGAAATGATCAGCATGGATAAAACTGCTGATCACCGAGAAGGGGAAGGCAGGAAAAGAATGTCCTGTACTTTTACATTCAATAACCTGTAGTTACCATCTCTCACAGGCTCACAGGCTGATTCAAACTGATTCAGAGATTTGGCGTTAATTTCCAAAAGCAGTGCAAGGTCTGCAAGCATAAAAGGTCTTCTAATTTTTGTAACAACAGACTTTGGCAGGCTGGCAGTCTAAGCTCAGGTGTTCACTGAAGACACCCACATTCACCTGGTTGCTTAAGACAGGGACCTGGGAGTCACGCTGGGTCCCTCCCTCTCCCTACCCCCTATCCAACGGTACACATCAGGTCCTGTTGGCTGTGGGTCCAGAACGTATATTGAATCTGTCTGCTTTTCTCTATCACTCTACTACTCACACCCCAATCCAAGCCACGATCCTTGCACCAGGATGACTGTCACATCCTCCTCACTGGTCTCCCTGCTTCCACTCTTGTCTCCACCAGTCTCCTCTCATTATATTAGGTGGTCTTCTTAAAGCACAAATAAAATTTTATCATCTTCTCCCTCCCCAAAGTTAAACTCCTCCCATGCCTTCGTAGATAACGTAGAGTAAAATCCACATCCTGACCTTTGGCTGGTCCCCTGCTTTCTCCTCTGACCTCATCACCCACCCCTCTCCCCCATTCCCTGAGCTCCAACGGCTCTGGACCTGCCAACTTTCTCCCTCTGGCTTTTGCTAATGCTTTTCTTCCACCTGGAGGGCCCCAGCTGGCTACCTCCTTCTCTTCTATGAGGTCTTAGCTAACTGTCCTCTCCTTGAAGACACCTCCTCTGATAACCATATCTAAGTAGGGGCTCCCCATTTTTTTCCCGTTTTGCACCTTATTGTCTTCTTCTTGGCACTTTTATCAATTTGAAGTTGTATATTTATTTGTGTATTTCCTTATTCGTTGTCTCTTTCCCTCACTGGATGGGAAGTACCACTAAGACAGGAACTATGTCTGTATCCCCAGGAAGTAGCATGGTGCCTGGCATGTAGTAAGCACTCAATAAATATCTGTTGAATGAAGGAAGGAATGAAGCTGTGTTCTGGGGGGATGACATAGCCATGTGACTAAATTGTGTCTTGATGGAGTCCACTTCTGCCCATACCTGGGAATGGGGTGGTTACCTGGTATCTGGTGGGCTTGCTGAAAGTGTTATTTGCTGTCAGATTTTCAGAATTCCTCATGCCAGCCTGGTAGCGAGCCTTCTGGGGAAAAAAATACAAAATACATAATAGATACATCCATCCATACGTGGTAGGACTTGAACAGCACTCATATATGGGGCAGTCTCTAAAAAGAGGACCCTTGGGAGGCCGATATACCCACTGCTGCTTGCCTCCTAGGAGACTGTTCCTGGGGACTTTAGTTCTGTAGGATCCCTACAGAAAGGGTTACAGAATATTGTCTGGTCAACTTTGGTAAGCACAGAGTTAAAATTATATGGGTGTCTTTCCTCCAGGACTCCTCAGAGATTTTAATGTGCTAATAAACATTGAGAATCTCCAGGAGAGGGAAATAATGGGCAGGGAATCTTTTTTCCCAGAGATCATTCTCCAGATCCTTTCTGGAAAGAGCTATTCTGCTTCTAGGTCACTAAGGACTCCTCTCAGTGGGGTCACGGCTCAGCCAGGCAGCTTGCTGAGCCCTCAGCAATGCTCCTCTCCAAGGAACTGGAGGGAGAAGGGGAGCGTTCACAGGCAGCCTCTGCTGGGGCTGCAGCTTTGCTGATGCACCGGCAGATTCTGAACAGCATTGGCCCCTCCCGGCTCCCGACTTTGCTGGTATCAGGGGCGCCATCTGAATCAAACACGCACCATTCCCTCCTCCCCCTCCTGCTGCCTTCTTAGCCCCATAAACCCCATGCTACCTACCCTGAATTTGGAATTCAGCATGCCCATTTCAAGGTCATTTTCACAGCTTTTGGCCTTAGATTTGCAGAGTTTTATGAGGCACATCTTGATTCTCATTATGAGATAATAAAATGATTTAGGGCTTGGCACTAGATTAAAAGGAGCAGGTAGAGTTCTTCCTTCATCAAAATAAGACAGCCAGAGCTTTGCTCGGGCAAATTTCCACTCCACGTCTGCATCCTCCTGTGCAACAAGGGAAACAACAACACACCATCAAAGGCCAGGATTTAATAACTGAGCTCATCTGAGGAGTGGGATGCAGCCTGCGAATTCTGAGAGGTTTCTGAACAGGACTCCGACTGATGCATTTGTGGGTGTTCTCCTTCGATACAGAGGCACAAGATGGGAAGTTTGCTAAAACCATATGCAATTAGTCACCCATAAAGATCTCCACCTAACTCCTCGGATTCATCTCTGAAAACCTCAGCCAGTTCATCTTCCCTTATCTCCACTGTGTATTTTTACCAACATTCTCCACTTGCCACTTACCAAGGCACTTTTCTCCCTGCCACTTAATCTTGTTATTCATTAACGTTTATAGCTCTGTGAATGGATTCACCAACCACCACAGTGTCAAGGTATTAATCTTTTAGAGCAGCACTGCTAATAGAAATATAATGTGAGTCACAAAGGTGAACCACATAGGTAAATTTAAATTTTCTAGTAGCCACATTATAAAAAGTAAAATGGAACAGATGAAATTAATTTCAGTGGTATATTTCATTTAATTCAATAGATCCAAAATGTTATCATTTCAAAGTGTAATCATAAAAAATTATTAATGAGATAGCTCACTTTTTCTTTCTCACTGAGTCTTCAAAATGGGCATGTATTTTACACTTATAGCACATCTCAATTTGTGCTATAGTGTAAGTACTCAGTAGGCACATGTGGTTAGTGACTACCATATTGGACACCACCGTGTATTTCTTATTAGAAAGTGTGTTTCTTATTTGTCAGAGAGCTTCCAGGGAGGCTGTTAGAGATTCTGCATATGTAATTCAAAGGGAACAAACCTGACTGTAGTTAGCAGGAGGGAGTCTGGCCGTGTTCTCTTACCTGGGGGTGATGGTAAGTTTAAACCCTAGATCTGTTACTTCTGACTTGATGTCAGTGCCAGACTGATGAGTGGGCCCCCTAAGAGGTAGCAGGTGTGTTTTTTACATAGGCAGGCTCCTTAGACCTCTGTCCTAGGAGGGTGGTTTGAGGCCAGGAAAGAGGCATGGGATTTGGAATCAGACAGACCTGGGATCATGACCCCTTATGAGCTGTGTGACTTTAAGTAAGGGCCGTGGGCTTGCTCATCTGTCCATGGAGATAACGCTGCCCCCTCACAGAGCCCTGAGCTTGGCAGTGAGTACCTGCTTCATGAGTGGTGGGTTCCTCTCCCCACAGGCAATGGCTACACTTCAAGGGGCTGTGAACCCAGCAAGGGCCCACGTGAGGCTACTGGGATGTGCCACGAGATATAAGGTCATCGCCAGCAGGCTCGACCATTTGGTTTGCTTTTGCTGAGACCCCATCAGCACCTGGCCTGGTCTATGGGGACATCCTATGTGGATCTTTTAGACTGGCAGCTTTGTGAGGGCAGGGGTGGCTCCTGGTCTTTGCTGTACCACAGAGAGGTGTGACAGGGACACCTGACCTGAGAGGAAGGGTGGGACAGTGGTGAGAGCACAGGTTCTGGAGCCTGCCTGGGTTCCAATGCTGGCTGTTCCTTACTAGCTGTGTAACCATGGCAGGTGACTTGGCTGCTCTGGGCCTCAGTTTCCTCATCTGTAAAATGAGGATAATAATACCTACCTCATAGGTTGTTTTGAGAATTAAACGAGTTAATGCATGAAAAACACATAGTGTCAGACACTTAGGAACCCCTCAGTAAATATTTTTATCTTCATAGCTTAACACAGTGCCTAGTGGTCAACCTTTAGTCATTTAGCAAACATTTACTGAGCACCTACTCTGCCTGGCATGTGCTGGGTAGGCACTGGGGAAGACAATCCATGCCCTCATGGAACACGCAGGCTGCCAGTGCCATGGGTATGCTCAACAGCTCATCAGCTAGGCTCTTACCTAGAGTCGTGCTAAGAGCCGTGGGAGGCTCTGGGTGCTGGGGCCCCTGACCTGGCCTGGGGGTCAGAGAAGGCTGCCCCGATGGCTTGAGTTTGAGCTGAGATCCAAGGGGTGAGTAGTTCTCAACCAGGTCAAGTGTGGGTGGGGTGGGGGGTGGAGAAGAGTAGGAGTTAATTAGTGGAAGAGGCAGTGAGAAGCGTAAACAACTCTTCTGAGAAAGTTGGCAGTAAAGAGCAGGAGAGAGAGAGGTTGAGAGCTGGAAAGTGAGATCGAGGGAAGATTTTTTGTAGTTTTTTTTTTTGAAGATCAAAAGACTTATTTAAATGCTGACAGGAAGGATTAGACAGAGGGAGGGTGAAGGTGTAGGCGGAGAGGGATAATGTGCAGTGGCGGCTGCTGAGGAGGCGAGAAGGCAGGGAGCGAGGGCACATGGGCAGGGCTGCTCTGATGGAGAAGGCCTCTCCCACCCACAGGAGGGCAGGCAGGGGGACCGCAGGTGCAGAGGCAGGTGGATCTGTGGATTGGGACAGTAGGTGCTCAAGATCTATTGACTGAATAAATAAGTGTTCTCATGGAAGGATTTACAAATATGTACTTCATCATTGTTAAATACTGGGCACTTTCCAATGGCCTTATTTCACTTTTTGTGGCCCTTGCACAGGCATCACCAGTGAGATGGGTGGGGGACATGTGCTCTCACCTGACGAGGAGAAGACCAGAGCCCAGAGGGGAGGTGTGGGCTGCAGTGTGCTCTCTCCATCTCATGGCACCACACTGGGGTGAGATAACTTGACATCACAGCCATGGGCTTGCCCACTCCTGCCCCAAACTTGTGGGCATCTCTTATGCCAATCACGCGGCTTTACATTCCACATTCATTTGGACCAAAGCATGAATTGCTTTTTAGGATGGAGCCAACCTTCCTAGGTGAGTGGTACAGAGACCCACAGATTGTCCAGGCACCATCTAGTTTCTCTTACACATGGGGAAACTGAGGCCCAGAAGGGCAGGGAGGACTTGTTAGCAACAGCTCATGCACATAGGTGACCAAATGTGTAAAACACTTTAAAAAAATATTTGTCCATAGACTCAGTGCTGCATTTGCCCGGGGTTGGTGGGGGTCGGGGGCTAAGGCTTCATGGCCCAGCTTACCTATTCCTGTCACCTCTTGTCTCTTTCCTTGCACAATCTATGCTCTTGCATTGCTGAATATACCACATTGTTTCACCCCTCCCTGCCTTGGCACATGTTGTTCCACGTTGTTTAGAATACTCTTTTTTTGGGGGGGTATTATGGACCAAATATGTCTTCCTAAAATTCATATGTTGAAGCCCTAACTCCAAGTACCTTAGAATGTGACTGTATTTGGAGATAGGGCTTCTAAAGAGGTAACTGAGGTTAAATGAGGCCATAAGGATGTGGCCCTAATCCAATATGACTGGTGTCATTATAAGGAGAGGAAGAGATTCCAGGGATGTACCACACACAGAGGAAAGGCCATGTGAGGACACAGCAAGAAGGTGGCTGTCTACAAGCCAAGGAGAGAGGCCTCACCACAGACCAACTCTGCCGACACCTTGATTTTCGACTTCTAGACTCCAGAACTGTAAGGAAATAACTTTCTGCTGTTTAAGCCACCCAGTCTGTGGTATTTTGTTATGGCAGACCTAGCTGTAACTACAGACCCTCCAGGGCCCTCCAGTTCAACTGACCCAGTCTGATCAACAGAGTAATTAAGAGTGGTTTTTCAGGAACTGAGACCCCTTGTCCAGTTCAGGACAGTTGAGACCACCAATCTATCAACTGGGCCTGCGCAAATGCTCAAAAAGTGACCTTTTTGACGTCAAGGAGTTAAAAACTCCTCCCTCAGATCATGGTAATGCTGCCATTTTGTGAACATGCCTCCTATGAAGAGCAATGAAGCTTGAATATGCTTGCGCAGATCATCAATTACTCACTTCTTCTTACCTCCAATCATCTATCTCCACACTTCAGACTGCCCTGCCCTTCATCCCATAAATTGTGTCCCAAACCCTGGATCCGGGAGACAGACTTGAGAACATACGCCTCTGTCTCCTTGCAGATCGATCTTGCAAAATAAAGCTGGTTTCTTTTCCCAAAAGCTGATGCCGTAATAATTGGCTTTTTTTTAATGCACATCAGACAAGAGAACCTCAATTTTGTGCAGTAACATAGTCAATTAATACATGGAAGTCTTTATTTTTTCCTATATGAGAAATACACAAATAATTGTTTCTTATAAAAGATTTAAATACAGAGGTACACCAAGCAAATAGGACAGTCCTCTTTCAAATATCCTTTCTCCTTTTAGTCCCTTCCCCAGAGGATGCCCCAGGTCAAGGGTGTGGTACCTTCTCTCAGCTTTTTCTTTCTGTATGCACATTTGTATTATTACGTAAATAAGAGTTGCCTATATATATTTTTCTACAACTTGCATCTTTTCACTTAACAATATCTTAGGGATTTTGCTATGTCAGCACAAAAAATTTTTTCTCATGGTATATACAGTATTCTAAGATCTATACTATATCATAGTTTACTTAAACATCCTGATATTGATGGGCTATTTCCAAGTTTTTCCTTTAATGAACATCTATGTAAAATAATATTTCTGCATAGATCTTTTCTTAGAATTGGGATTGTTGAGTCAAAGGGTTAGTGCATTTTATTTTGGTTTAATTTTTAGTTTATTTCATTTTATAATAAGTAAAACAATAATAGATTTGTAAAGCATAAAAAGGTATAAAGAGAAAGGCATTCCACCACCATGTCCCCCAACCCCCACCTCCCAACAGTTACCCCTGCTGTGCATTTCTTGTGTATCATTTCAGAGGTTCTTTTTCTTTTTCAAATGCTTATACAATGGAAAATGCATATGTATTCCCTTCTCTTCCTCTCTTACACGAGAGCGCACGCTATGTACGTTGTTCTGCAACTTGATATTTTTTCACTTAAAACTATATCTTGGAGGTCTTTCCACATTAGTAGATAGAGAACATCTTCATCCTTTTTTAAAGCTGCACAGTATCCTAATGTTCAGATGTATCATAATCTATTTAGGGATTCCTACTAATGCTCATTTAGTTTGTTTTTATTTCTTGCTGTTCCAAACAAGGCTGCAATCAATAGCTTATGGTTTGTGCATTTTAGATTTTGATAAATTGCTTCCTGATATACTCCCTTGACTCCCTTATCTGTTCAGCAAAATTGTATTAGTCTTTGAATGGCCATCAAGCATCACCTCTGGAAGCTTCCTCCTCTCATAGTCAATCACAGACTTTGCTTTGCACCTCCTGTACCTGGTTGGACTTCTCTGGTTGCCCTTCCCTAGCGCACTGCAATTTGTTGATTTACAAGTCTGTTCTTCTCACTGAATAGAGTTCTTTGAAGGCAGAGATTGTGTCTTAGTCAATCTCTGTGTTGCCAGTGCCTAGCACAGGTGTGGCATGCAGTAGGTACTTAATAAATAACATATGAGAGGCAGAAGGGAATGTGGGCTAAAAGATACAGTCATTCCAATTTGCTGTGGGTCACCTGCATGAGGGGACACATGTAAAAGAGGAAAGATTCATGACCCTGACTCTTTCTGCCCTTCTTGGGCCATTTTGTGCCCACTATCCTGTGTGGCACGTTGACTGGAAGTGTTTCTTGGAGCAATCCAGGAAGAATGCTGGTTGTTTGCTAGTCTGGCTTCACATTTAATAACACACAGCTTCTAACGTCTTTACCCTCATTGCTGAAAATGGCAATGTAAATTCAATCAAGGAGGAGAGAGCATTTTCAATTAACTGATACCTCAATTAACTTACCTCAATTTCCTGATAAGAGTTGTTGATCATGGCTATTAGCATATTGAGCAGCACTACCACCATGGTGACGTTATAAACGCCGTAGAGAACGTAGCCGATGTTCTCGATGAATTTGTGGTCATATTTCAGCACCACCGAGATCACTTCAGACAAGCCAAAGATGGACCAAAATAAGGTTTTAAAACTTTCTTCAACTCTACAAGGAAACAGACAGTCCCTTCAGGCAGTTTGCATCAGCTAACGCTTTTCACACAACAGTTGTCTTTATGCAGATGTTAGGGGTTACCCTGTAGTGGGGCGGGGGCTGGCTGGTGGTGCCTGTATTCTGAAATAATGAGATATTCAGATTTCTAGGAAGACTTTGAAAGAATATGATAAAGGGCAGGCTCTTTCTTTTCCATTCAATCTGTTTATTGGGACTCCTGGCTGCGCTGTCATTTTTATCTCGTAATTAAACATTTAAATTAAACACCAGGGCAAATGCTTGTTCTTGTATGTTATTAGCCTCAGAAAGCACAGGCTTCCTTCAGCAGTCTCTTGAGTGTCTCTTCTCAGACTGCCCAGCCCCACGTGAAGGGGAAGAGGCTGGGGTCCACAATGGAGCTGGCATCGTCGGTGCCTGGCCCTTGCTGGGTACTTGCTACAGGGCAGCTCACTTAAGTCTCATGGCCACTGCCGTGGTGGGCTCGCTTATTACCTCCATTTTACAAATGGAAACACTGATGCTCAGAGCCTTACATGGCTTTCCTAGTGGCACCCAACTGGAAAGGGGTGCAAGTCCAGGCATGTCTGAGGTTTTCAAAAGCACACAATTCTAACCACATGCTTTACTGCCCCCTGGCTCTGGGTAGTGAGGCCAGCCACCCAGATCAAGTCCTCTTAAACTGGAATTGGATTAGGAGAGTGGTGAGTTTGGTGTGTCCATATTGTTCCAATTCACGAGGTAACTGTCTAAACCTTACCCTGCAGCTCACTCAGGGTAGAGACTGCACGTGCTTTGAGGAGCAGTTCGGTGAAAAGCTGGCTTTTAGGATGCTGCTCTGTGACCTTTTTGAGACTATGAAGTTACCAAAATACACTGGCTTTAAGAATAAGATCCCAGCACATTTCACAGTCCATACTCTGTGGCTATGACCCTATATCAGGTTTACGACATAGAATCCGATCAGAAACCTGGATTTTGTTTGAGAGGTTTAGGACATGCACAGGTACCTGATAACATCTGAACAGTTAAGTGCAGTTCTCTTAGTTTGTATCCAGATTTTTGGTACCATTATGAGAAAGCATTTCGTTTTTTTTCTTTAACATTTCAGACTTTCAACACTCACCCACAAATGGCCAGGATTAGCTAGATCTCAAAAAAAAAAAAAAATCAGCATTTCTTAAGGGTTGATATTTATTTGACAAGATGTACAAAAATACTAGTACTCGTCACTTTGGCTAAAAATCCAACTCTGACTTGCATGAATTTTCAGCACTCCTGTAAGTGTGTGTGTGTGTGTGGGTGGGTGGATGTGTACATGTGTGTCTAGCCAGATGTTTGACTCATTCTCTGTGCATCCCAGAGTCTGAAAACTAAAAATCAGAGTGAGTTTTTGTTGGCATTATTTGTTTTTGGTTTCTCTTAAAACTGTGAGTTTGGAACATATAGTTTATTTTGTTTTAGCAAGAAAGAGTTTAGTTGGGCATTTGGAAGTAAGGACTGGGTATCAAGCCATCAGTTTAGAGCTCCAGCTCCTGATGCTCTTCCGGGAAAGGGGTCCTCGGGAGAGGTGCAGCGTCCATTTTGTGTGAAACAGATACCATTGAATGTGTGGCATGATTCACTGAAGGTATTGTCTCCCGTTAGGAAGCAGTCTTTGGTTATCACCCTCGTAGAAGGGGATAGTGGCAGAGAGAGTCCAAAGCCACTGGATGAGCCCCAAATCCCAAACTTGAAGGAGCCAGCAGGACATGATCTCTCTGACAGTTGTTCCCTTCCTAGAGACATCAGGTAAAAACTGGAAGACACACTGTCTGAGGTCGGGGCTGGGCAGACAGGTGCTGGTCCAGGATTGCGCACTGACCATGAACAGCCTAAGAAATGGATGATACATGTGACAGAGAGATGTTTTACAGAAATTCATCTTCCTTTTCCTACCTTGGAAAGCCCCACAAAACTTTGACTAACACAAACAAAGCAAGCAATTATAGAATACATTCAGGGAAAACCTTCTGAATTTTAATTAGGGAAAATGGCCTAGATTCAGCATGTATTTTTTTCTCATTTGCTTCTTGCTATGAATTTTGCTACTAAGCTCTGATTTATCCTTGGTGCCTTCACTTAGGGATTCTATGTCAATGATCTGAAGGATGCAGAGCTGGCCCATTAAGCAGTATGTGTTCCAGTTAGAGAGTATTTACAGATCCCTAAACCTAGGCCTTAGCCCCTCCTCTAGCAGCACCCCCCAATCCAGGCTTGGAATGCTGATCTGTTCATTTGTTGTCTGGCTTCCAGATAATCTTCACACCTGTTTCATTTCTATTCTATAGTTTAAGAATTAGCCTCTGGACTTGAATTTGGCTATGACCTCTAGGAGAATCTAATTACAAAAGGCCCAGACTCACTGGCATTGCCAGAGTGAAAGTGGCCCCATCCAGAGCAATAGTCATGGCCCCTGACTGGCCAGGAAGGGGTCTTAACCAAAGTATGCATTTTTAACAATCTCTTCTTAGCTCTTTAGGGAGTGTCTGTAGTCCTTGCTTCCTCTTATTATGAGGCAAAATGGGTTGCGGTAGCAACGACCTCCTTTAAAGAAAAGCTAGCTCTGTTGGCTTGAATCATCCCAAATGGTTGGAGTCACCATTGAGATCGCTTGGGTCTTTCATTTGTTCCCATCCCTCTTGACATGAACTAGACTAACTGAATAGACTAATTTTGTTGTTGTTTCTCAGAGGGGACCTTATGGGCTGAGTTATGCACCATTAGCTGGGCTAAATGGCAAGCAATACAATATTTCATCCATAGCTCAAATCATGTAACTAAATAAATTCTGAATGGAATTGAAGAGTTCAATGTTAAAAAATTACAGGATCAAAAAACTAGAGTAAAATATTGGTATTTATATAATATTGGGCAGGGAGAGGTTTCAGAAACTAGAAAGGGAAAAATGGAGAGAGATAACCACATAAAACTTTACTTGTATACATCAAAAACATAATAAGTAAAACTATAAGGGAAAAGACTAAGTGAGAAAAGAATTTGTACTTGCAACATATATGACAGACAATAGATGATGTCTTTCTTTCATAAAGAGCTCTTATAAATCAATATGAAAATGACAGATATCCTAGTAGAAAGAAAAAGAGGAAAAAAAACTTCCGTGAAAACTTGATGCTTTTTATGGTAACAAGAGCTCCATGATTAACTTGATATGCCATGCTAGCGGCATCTTCTGGTTTAATATGTGGCAGGAAATAAATGAAATTTGTCCTCACTGACCCGAGTGAGAAAAGACTTGTGTTACCTTGACCTTGGAAACCTACAATAATATATTTTCAGAGAGAAGGCTGGCCTTGGAAAGGAGCCCATAGTACACTACTAATCCCAAGAGCTTGGGCATTGGAGCTGGCCCCAATGTCTCGTGAGGTTGTGATGCTCTCTGAGTCATGTATTAATCATCACCCACAATTTTCAGGAGCTATGGGATCCAGGGCACAGGGCAGAAGGCCAGCCACTGTGGAGGTCAGGGGCTGTCTTTCAGGAGGAAACTATCTTGGAATTGGCTTAGTTGATATTCACCACCAAGCTACTTGTCTCACAAAAAGCCCCTACTGTCAACTAGCTGGTCTCAAGGCTGAATTTGAGGTTCTTTACTGATAGGGATGGTGGTCACTGGCTCCACATTCTCCTCCTACCCACTCTGGCCATCTACAGAGCTGGCCACAGAGGTCAATCACAGGAAGCTTCATAGAGGTAGTTGGAGGAGTAAGAAGAACAAAGATGCACGCCTGGGTTCAGATCCCAGCTCCACCATGCACTGGCTTTGTGAGTCTGGGCAAGTTACAAAACCTATTTGAGTCTCAGTTTACTCATCTATGAAAGGGGATAATGGTGCCTTATTATTAAGTTGCTGTGAAGATTAAATAAGCAACTCATATATATATATAGTAAAAGCCCATTAAATGGTAGCCATTATTTTTATTTATTTATTTGCCAAATATTCACTGAACTCTGACTATGTGCTAGGTACTGTACCAGGTGACGAGGATACACTGGTGGCCAGAGCTTGTTTCTGTCCTTGTGGAGGTCCCAGTCTAAAGTAAACCCAACGGGGTGAGAGAATGCTGCGGGGCTGTAGGCAAAGTTGGCTCTGTTGGCCTTGCCTTACCCAGGAACACACACAAGCCCATCACCTCCTCAGGTGCTGCCACACAAGGCTGAATGGAGTTAATAACTCAGATGCTTACTGACTTTTCTGAGCAAGCCTCATTTTCCTTCCTGTCTGCAAAGATCATTACAAACCCTTGATTTCATGCAAATCCTCTTTCTGATTTCTCCAGCCAATGCTGTCTTTTAATATTTGACTCTTGGCTTGCAGTGGAAGGGCCTGAAAAGGTTAGTCAGTAGGCCACCCTGGCATAAGAAGTGCTCCTAATGAAGTGAAAGGGGAAAATGCCTGTGAGAGACGTTGAATAGACCTTGATTCTCCTCCTCTTACTGGGCGGGGTAGATGGGAGAAGGTTGGGGCTGAGTTGTCACGCAGACGGCAGGGACGAGATAATCAGTTCTCTACCAGGTCTGTCTCGCCTGGAGAATGGGAATTTAATAATAGGTTGCCTGAGAGGCAGTTGTGTATGGGTCTCAGAGAGCAAACTGATCAACAAGGGGTGGGTTTGGGGCCATTGTTATGAAAATTGCTGCTTCTTCAGAATGCCATGACACCCTCCCCCCAGTGTCATGGAACTCTGCCCGCCCCCCAACAGTTAAGTTCAGTTACCTACACAAATCTGCACATAACAGGCTAAAATTAAGCGGGAGGATCAGCTCCTGAAAGGCTGTTTCTCAAATTCAGAAGACAATAGCTGGTGCAGTGCTCGAGTTCTGCTGAAGTGGAAACAGTGCTCACCTGCCATCCAAGCTGGGATGATGGAAGAAGGTGCTTGGAACATAGGAAGACCCTGGGAGAGGGCTGCGTTTCTGTAACGCCCAGACCT